GTAGCATAGCAGCATTTAACTACAGTCATGAGCAAATCAATTGAAATACACCACAAAGATAGGAATACAAGCTTTGTGTGCGGGAGAGCGTGCGAATGAGCATATGTGTGTACTCCTGCTGTGATTAGGTGCAGGAATGTGAGAGAGCACGGCCCGCAGGATTGTTAAAGAGTTCGATCCATCTGTGTTACTGCTCAGTGGAGCGCACAGCATCATTTCGAGGCCGCTGGCAGGCCATCCAGCGCGCTACTACAGGCCGCATGACGAAGGGAAATAACGTGGAAGTGAACTCCGTTCCCTGCTCGTTAATGTTCAAACATCAACCACCGAGCCATGCAACTCCACAACTCCTAACACACACACACAGACACTGCATGTCAGGCATGTCTAGGAGCCACTTATACAGCATGTCAGTCTGGGCTATCGTGCATCACAAAGCAGGTTATGAAAGCTGTGGGTGAAAGGGGTAGATGGATAGAAAAACACCAGATGAATAAATCAATGGTGTGTGTCTCTGGGGAATGGGCGTGTGTTGATTGACACCTCACTGGTGTAGTGGAGTGGAAATCGTGTTCGTGGCCTGTGTTGGAGGTGACATGTCGTATCTCCACCACTCAGGATTCCTCACCTCTAGCATACTGGCCCCATGCCCTCAAATGCCCTGTAAGCCCTTCTTCTCTATAACTTCTTTTTTGTAATGTCTTTTTTTTTCCCAGTCTCTTTGGCTCTTATACTCTATATGCTCTGGTCTATTTTCCCACAGTACTGTGCAAAAGTCAGATACCACTCATCATTTATTTCATTTCCAGTCAAAATGTCCATTGAGTACAAATTGTTCATTTTACAGCTTCAGAAATAAAAGCAGAAAAACATTTATTTAACACAAAATTACACAAACATAAAAAACTAAATATAATATATATATTTTTCAGTACTTTTCTGTGTCCACCCTTTTCTCAGACGTCCATTTTTGGTGTTCCAGTGCAAATTTTTCTCTTTTGTTAGTCTATTTTTTTTTTCTCAGTAAAGGTTTCTTGGCAACTTCATCTCCTTTCACACCCATAGTGTGGAGTTGTTTTCTCACTGTGAAAGGATAAATAGAAACACCTCTAGAGTTTTTTGAAGTAAGAGCTTGATTTTCTCCTCTCTCTCTCAAAGATGAAGGCTTTAAGTACTGCTTATCTGATGACCGTTATGGTGGTCAACCAGGTCTTACATGGTTGTTGGGAGTTCCATTTTCTCATAACTTTTAATAACTTTCTAAACTCCAGTTTTGGAAAGTCTTCATTATTCACTGTTTCCCTTTGACTTTGCCCTTCCTTATGCAAGTGGATTGTCTTGTATCCAATCTCAGCAATATCTCCTTTAGCCATTTTTAGATGCACATGAGAAAGACAAAGGCAGCTAAGGTGTGTTTGGGTGATTGCTTGTGTGAATGTCAGTGTCTCTTTGAAGGATAACAATGCAAGTGACACCTTTAGAAACAGCTTTTATTACACAGCTGTAAGCCTTTGGCTTTAAGACTGAAAGGATGGAAGAGTTAAAGTGGCAGTAGAGTGCACAAAGTCAAAGAGTGGACACAATACAAACAAAGTTAAAGAGTGGACAATACTGATAGATTTGATATTATACTTAGTCTTGGAGACTTTAGTGTGTTTTTCTGATAAATAGGCCTGTATGTTTTCTGCTTTTTATGATACATTTGCACAGTTTTGTATGGCTTCATCTTTATCTTTCTCTCCACCTTTGCCCCTCGCTCTCTCTCTTCCTTTCTCCTCATGTCCATCTCTCTTTGTCACCATTTCTCTCTCTACCTTTGTCTCTCTGTCTTCATCTCTATCTATACTTTTTTCTCTCTACTTCTAGATCTCCTCATTTCTCTCTTTCTCTCCCTCTCTGCTCCTTTTTCTTTTTGACTCTTTCTGAGGTTCAATTTTTCTCTCACCACTTTTATCTTTGCCCATTTCTTCTCTCTCTATACTCTCTTCTTCTCTACCTTCTTTTTTCTCTTTTTCCAGCCTCTCTCTGACAGGCTTTCTTTCTGTAGCTATACTTTCTATGCCTCTTTCTTGTCTACCCCCTTGCCCTTTTTTTCTCTATGCCCTTTTCTGCAGTTCTACCTCTCTCTCACCTCTCTTATCTCTGCCTGTCTCTTCTCCATCATACTCTGTTCTTTGCTCACTCTTACTCTCTTGTTAGAAAAAGTCACCAGCAGGCAGTAAGGAGTAAATCCTCCACTCCACATAGTCAGCCATATCAGAGATAGCTTTTCCTCACAATAAATAAATAAAGAAATAAATAACAGTGTTGCTACTATCACTTCCTGCTTTTATCAGGCAGGGATTGTTCTCAGGAATCTATTTGCTTTGAAAGCGTGTTTGCTCCACTGGCAGCTGAGCAATCCAGATTATGTATTTTCATTAATATCTGATGATGTTGCTGAGCAGGTTCAGATCAGCTCAAGGGTGAAACTGTATAATCTTCACGCTGGCTAATTTTAATCATGCACCCATGCTATTGTAAAAGGACAGGATCCTTTATTTATCTTCCTCCATGATACTTCAATTGACCTTGCTATACAAAAGTTTTCTTTTCTTTCATCAAAGTAACAAACTGAGTCTGCTCATTTTATGTATGAATGTCCAAATTCAGTAGATCTATTTCCAGTTTTCCATTCATCATTTAGGTAACACTTTATTTTAAGGATGCATATTGGGGGTTTATTAAGGCCTTGTTTGTTCAGTAAAGCTCAAATTAGACACTTTTGAAGGGTTTATTTACTAAGATTCTTTCATTATGACCTGTATTCAGGGATGTAGGGAGTGCAGGTGCTGTGGGGGCTGCAGCACCCTAGATTTCAGGAATGCAACTGCTATACACATACACACACTCTAAGACACTAATCCTTCTGGGTCGCTGGAGCCTATCCCAGTGGTCACTGGGCAGAAGGCAAGGAACACCCTGGCCAGGTCACCAGTCCATCACAGGGCAGACACACAGATATTTACAATTACACATACATTCACAGCCAGGAGCAATTTAGCCAGTTTAATTTAGCCTATTTAGCGTCCATTTGGCCTGACTGCATGTTTTGGACTGTGGGGGGAAACCGGAGGAAACCCACACAGACACAGGGAGAACAAGGAATCTCAACACAGAAAGGACCCTGAATGCCCAGCTAGGGAATCGAACCCAGGCCCTTCTTACTGTGAGGCAACAGCACCACCGTGCCGCCTCCAAAAGTAATAATACTAATGAAAACTAATTAACATACTATATCAAAATTAAAACATTAATAGAAACTTTATTATAAGATAAAAAGTTGTAAAGTTTACATAATTCAAATGTGTACATGAGTTCTACACAAATTATCTGTGTTACATCAACTTAAGTTATTTACACATAGCAGTTATGTTGATGTAACATATTTCATTCATGTGGAGTAAATGTACACCTTTGAATCATGTAAATTTGGAGGAAACTTTAAGCAACTCTTTTTTTCAGTGTAGTAAACATCCATGTGTGCTTGTTTTAGAGTGTAGTTTGCATTTTATATTTTATTTATATATTTTCAAAACCGACCTGTCCAGGGTATGTGTTGCCTTCCACCCAATGACTGCTCCCCCCATGACCCAGAAGGAATAAGCGGTTTAGAGGATGTGTGTGTGTGTGTGTGTGTGTGTGTGTGTGTGGGTGTGTGTGTGTGTGTGTGTGTGTGTGTATTTTCAAAACCTGCAGTAACAATGCATGTTTAAGTTTAAAATAAAAAAACCATCTAACATAACAATAGCAGTTTTTATCTCCCATTATATCTCTCACTCAGTGTGCATTTCAGTGTTAAAACTCAGTCTGTGATTATGAGCATGCCACAATCATTTAGCTCGCCACATATCAACAACCTGACTGGTCGCCACTCAGGTCATGCAGTTTGTCCAGAACAAAAGAGCAGAGAAAGTGTTCGAAGTGTGTTTCACTTCATTATAGCATAATATGACATTCTGTTTGATGTAAATTGTCAAAAAAATCCAAATGAAAAAAGACAAATGATTTTGCATGACATCACCGTTTACATCACACATATGCTGATTAAAATTACAGCACCCCCAACTTAAAACACCTTCCCGCATCCCTGCTTGAATTAGTATAGAATTTGAAGAGCTGTTTTGTCTTGTATGTTTTTGCCTACCACAAAGCTATGAAATCATGTTTATTGTATAATATAGGATGCAATTTGACTTAATGAAGACTCATTTAGCCTTTTTTAGCCTCTAGTAATAACTAAAATCACACTTTATAACAATCTTGAAGCATTAATGACTTATTAAACCCTTATAAGCTGTAATGTAATAAACTCCAAAAGCAACATGATGCTACCCAGGTCTGGCATCAGAGGGGCAATTGTAATACTACTTTAGTTAACATGACAAATGATGACACAACATGTTTCATAAATGCGCAGACCTTTGATGTTTTGCCGTAAATGCAGCTCCCCTGTTGTTAAGAATAATGTTGCAAATTATACAGTAATTACATGTGAATTAAGGTGATTAATTCATGCTCAATGATTTGCATAACAAAGCCTTTTAACCAATATTGCATTTATTAGTGATTTTCACATAATAGACCTTCAATTATGTACTAATACAGGTCATAATAAAAGTAGCCTAATGCACAATGAAAAAAAAACAAGTAGAAGTGTCTAATTTGGGCTCTATTGAACAAAGAACAAGATCTTAATAAACACCCAATATGTGTTCCTTAAAATAAAGTGCTACCGTAATTTATCTTCTGCACTATACTGTTCCATTTAATCAAAAACCTTCAGTGTGTGTGTGTGTGTGTGTGTGTGTGCACTCTCACTCCTCATACGTGGTCTGTGTTGCATTTGAAATTGGTCAAGGTTGGAAACACTCACATTGTGATAGACAGACTGAGGAGACCTTTCTTCCCCACATGCCGTATGTGTGTGTGTAGGTGTGTGTGTGTGTGTGTGTACTCACAGTGAGGAGTTTGTTATGGTTGTCCAGTGTGGTCCGTCTCTGGCATGCATACTGAGACACAGCAGGCAAAGAGGTGTCTGGCAGAGGTGTCTTCAGCTGCAGCGAAGGTTTCTGCTCACAAAGAGAAAGACAGAATAAAAGAGAGAGAAGGAGAGAGAGACAGAGAGAGAGAGAGAGAGAGAGAGAGAGAGAGATTGATCTCAGAAAAACAGAGAGAGAAGCAGAATCTTTTTTTTTCTGTTGCTTTAATATCAATTAATCTCACATTGCTTCAGTCCCAAATGTTTAAATGCATTAGTTTTTATATATTTAGCATTATTACCATATAGCTATGCTGCTTAAACTACAGTATTGGCCCCACACCATGCTCATTTACTCCTACTCATACTATAAAATTCACCAACAAATGATACCAACACTTAATACTCCCTGATACCATGGAACGTAAGCCTAGTGTATGCAGCCACACTAATGAACCAGTTTCAACAAGTTTCAAGCTGGCAGTAAACAAGGGTCTTTTCACACAGAGAAGTGCTGCTGACCTCACGGCAGTCACACATGAAGTTGTTGGTCACTTTAAATATTCCAACTTGCCATGTTCTCACCAGAAATACACACGTTTTTACATACATACAATCACAATCACTTCCCCAATATGGGCGGCTAAAAACTCAAAATTTCCTACCAAAGACCTTGTGTGTTTCAAATAGTATGTCAACCAGACTAAGCATTTTCCTACAGTGTGTAAATAATATGCTTTGTACATAGTCCATTCAAATGTACAGTGTTAGTCACCAAAGAACAGGATTACTAAAATCACACAGTGTATTTCTGGACATTCAACTACAGCTCAACCAGCCAATCAAAAGACTCCGCAAACACATAAAACTTTACAGGTGAGCTCCTCCGGATTAGCCTCAGATGTGAATCGTGCTGTCACTGTGCTACACAGACTGCTATAGAAAGTTAAAGATGAGGAGCATAGGATCAAATCTATGAAACATACATTACTTTATAGCTGTTCAGAAGGGCTTTTCTCACTTGCACGCCACTGCAACAGTACTCAAGGTACTCAAAGTAATTCATGTCTCATAGCTAGTTAATGCACATCACTAAAAGCAGCTTAATTTAGCGATTCAATTATTAAGGTACATTGCACTCATTTACACTAACAACTACATAATTCTAAGTAGGTCAGTCACTCTGTATTGATATCGGTATTGGAAAGAACTAAAAAACATTTACTCATACTCAACATGTATTCATAGTTTAAACCATTGAAATCTCAGGCTGATTACATCCTAAGGCTTTCTTCAGTAATTACATGCAAAGCAGTCCAAACTAAGTTATTCCTAAGTTGTAGGAGTGTGAAAAGGAAGTCTAGACCTGCCGGAGGCTCCTGGCTATTTAAAGGGTTACATGTGATTATGAAGTCACATTACATAATCACTCACATGATGAACTACATATACTTAGGGTTGCGCACTACGATTGTGACAAACTATGTCACATTACATCACAGCATATTGTGGATATTGTCACTTGACAAAGAATGTAGAACAACTGCATGTGTTCCCCTGTAAAACAGAAGCATACTTAAGTAGATCAATAGTATACTTGAAGTATACAGAGAATGCTTAACATCATTTTTAATGTAATGCCTTTCATGGAATATACCTCAAATATTCTGTAGTTTTCCAAAAGTACATATTTAAAGTAACATTTTAAATTATAGTAAAGTAACATACTGTCATACTGAAGCATACTTAAGCAAAAGTACATTTAAATGTTATCAACTTAAGCTTTTAAAAGTATATTCTTAAGCAATGGCTTTAAAGTATGCTTTAGTACATTTTGTTTGTTGCTATATAACTCAAACTAACTAGCAATTAAGTATAGGTATCGGTACAACCGTGAGTATACAATTAAAATGCATTTCATGTGTAGTTTAATTTTTGTCTTAATAAATACTTCATTACTTGAAAAGTTCTTTACAATGTAAGTTGATCCAGTTTAAAAGAACCTTTGTATGCATATAGGTATGTGTGTATTAAATGTATGAGTTGAATGTATTTAGTGATATTGAAATGTGATTTAAAATGCATTTTAGTTGCAGTATAACTCATGTAGCACTGAAATATTTCAGTAAATTAATATTCTTTAATGCATTTACAAGGCTCATTAAAAAGAGAGCTTAATCAGTCATGTTTAATTAGATTTAGTGCTGTGCAGTATGTGAATGACTAAGTAAATAAATATTGATACTAATGGTTCTTTTTTGTCTGTTCCAGCTTATCAAACCTTAAAAATAAATATCATTATGTATATTATATGTATAATGATTCAGATAAAACAGCAACATAACATATACAGCAACATAACCATGAATACTGAAGGTTTAAGACTCAGTAAACCTAAATCTGTGTTTTCTTTCTAGTTACATTAGTCTTGCTCTTGCAGACAAACAGTAAATATGTATACCCCTTGAAAAAGGTTCCAATGAACAATAAATGACCGATATATTTCACCATATTTCTCTTCTCTAGATGTAAACCGGGATGGTCCAAATCTTGCGTAGCGCTTCCGTAAGCATTTCCCTGACCAATCACAAAGAATCTCTTGCCCCGCCCACACAAAACAGTCTCAGAGTCAGAGAAACTTAGCAAGCTCAAGCTAACAAAGTATAACCAAAAGCTTGCAAGCTGGACCACCTGTCTGTAGCTGCCTGTTGCCCGTTCATTCCTTTATCCATATATGAACATTGTTTGTTTGTCCCTTCCTTCATTCACGCGTTGCTTCATCCATCCATTTGTTTGTCTGAACATCTGTTCGTCCTTTCCTTCGCTCGTTGTTTCTTCCATCCATTTGTTTGTTCATCTGCACATCTGTTCATCCGTGACTTTTTTTATCCAGTTACTTTCACATAAGAGCTGGATACAGATTTTAATATAAAAAATCATGTATAAGTGGTGGAGCAGGCTGGGAGTGTTGGACAGAGAGCTGTCAATCAAGCTGCACATTAGCCATGCCCACACAGTTCTCAGATAGGCCTGGTTAGTGTTTTTTATCATATTTATATCTATATTTTTCATGCAGCCTTTGCTGGATGTTTAATATAACACTCATGTTTAGTGTCATACAAATGTTTTTGATATTTTTTAGTTATCTCTTCCCTGGAACTTTACTCCACACAATACACGTGCAGGAATAAATTCAGCCAGTCTCCTTTACAAATATATATGTGTGCATCTCCTCCATTTCATGAGTTTACATGAACGTACTAGAACTTTCATCTTTCAAGAGCTTAAATCTAACCAATTGAGTGTGCACTACTTAACTTCACTGTTAAACCTCACCAGTATCAGGACAACACATTAACAGCTTCTGCTCATCACAGAGATAAGAAAGCACCAATCGATTACTTCCCGCAGCCAGGCCTATAAAAAATTCACCAAGCTGTAATTCAATTTGCCTCCTGTAAATTGCCTTTTCATTTCAGCACAGAAATCACTCCACCCGTTTGTAAGGTATCAAAGGGATTACGCTTGTGACTTTAGTATTCGGGGGAATTAATATGCAGCAGAGCTCTGAGTCTGTGGAAATTACCTGTAGACACATTGTGTCATTGCTGAGTTCAGGAAATGTACACGCAGCTGCTTCCAAGCAGTTCCAAGTCATTAAAGAGGCATTTAGTTACTTATTAGAATAGACAAAGAAGGATATTTTGTCTTGTCTAGCAGCATCAGCAATGAAAGGAGAAAACACTTGTATTCACTGCCTGTGGCATCTCCTTAAAAAAAGCACCAACAGCCACCAAGTACATTCCCTAATGCAAATTTCACTCCATATCAGGAACTAATCTCACGCTCTTGTTTCTCATTATGTCTGACAATCAGAGGTGCTTTTCAGTCCATGGGTCTCCTCTACTGTGAACAAACCACTCATTGCATGAGTCTATCAGATGCTCTACAGGAACCAGGGGTTTATATACGGTGTTGTTCCACATAACATCTTATGGCTGGTGGAAGCAGCTGATGAACATCAACACTGAGTCATTAGTTTGCTTTTGTTTGTCTCCTCAAAATTCATATATATCAGTGGTGACCAAACCTGGTCCTGGAGAGTACTTTCTTGTTGACTCTACACTTTTTTTGTCTCTCAGTTTTTAGACACATGATTATCCAATGATTCTTCTGAAATCAAGGGTAATCAAGGGACTCCATTCTCATTTTGTTGCTTTTAAAGGCTTTACACTGGCTGTTGGAACATTGCTGTGTGGACTTGATTGCATTCAGCCACAAAAGCATTAGTGAGGTTAGGTTCTGATGTTAGACGAGTAGTTCTGGATTACAAAAGCCACTCTAGCTCTTCCTAAAGTTCAGGCTCAAGCAGATGGCATTGCTTGAGGATGATGGGGCTATAAACACATGCGGGGTGTGTGATGGGATTTATAGATTGAGAAGAGGTTGTACAGTGCAGTGAGTGTGTCATTGGATGTGTGGGAAACAGCTTGTGAATAAAAATCGCTTCGCTTCCAGGCAAGAATTGCTTCTAGAAGTCAACGCAGGTCCTTCACAACCAATTTCTCAAAGAACACTCCACAACTGCATACCATGAACATATGGAGCAGAGTGGACTGCTCATGACTGGGAACGTGTTATCTGGCCAGATGAATCTTGTTTCTGCCTGTATGTGAAAGATGCTGGGCATCGTGTTCATCGTAGACCTCAAGAAGCCTTCAATGAGGACTGTGTGCAAGGTGTGGTTCAAGCTGGAGGAGATTCTGTGATGTTCTGGGGGTGTTTTAATTTTGCGGAAATGGGTTCTTTGGTTGAGGTGACGGTAAATTTGAACCACTGATGGGAAAGATTGAATAAAACATTCCCTGATTAGTAATCAATAAACTAAATATTGGCTGACTAGAGAGACCTCCTAATAAGGTAATATAGGGAAACAGACTATGGACTGTATGCAGTAGACTCTCTAACGGGGAAAGAGTTTCTGGGCCCACAGAAGGGAGCTGTACCAGATGACAGTTTAAGTATATGAAGGGTTGTGTGAGATGGCCCTATGGAGAGTTGTGCAAGAGG